TTTAAGTCTTTAGAGGCCTGCACTTACTTCTTATCGTAAGTACCGGGCCAATATTTGGTCTACGGGCCGGCGTCATCTAAGGGAGCAGACGACAAGCAGAAACGTTTGAAAGAGCAGACGACAGTTCGAACGATCAAGTGGCCGTTTGAACTTTAAAACGCACTGAACGTAGTCCGCAGGTGGTCCGCACAACTTGACGGTTTTCTGGCACTCATGTTGGAACAAACCGAATAAGTCTGATGACCACAAGTGTCGGTGAATTCAACCCAAAGTGCTTCCCGCCCAAGCAATCGTGGTCCGACGGCGTCTGGTTTTCCCTTTTCACGGCACATATCCACGTTCTCGGACAAACCGAGCACATGAAAACTGACCTTCAAACCTTTCTCGACACTTTTGGTACGGCCCCAGTCGCAGCATTTGGACGAGAAGGCAGGTTTTTGTCTGGTTCCTTTAAAAAAAAACGCAGGAATACATGTCTGGCATGGGGACTTCTGCCCACAGCCCCAGACCGGAAGTGCGACCGACGCGCCACCACCGCGCCGTGACGTCACAGAGTTGAGTTTGTGGATAGAACTCATGTTTTTTTCTTTATTCTATTTTATGAACGCGTGCGTTTTAGATTTTCCCAAGAAGGTCGTTATTTCCTCTTTGAAACGAGACTTACCAAGAAAATAAATGAGTTGCCCAGTTAAACATTTTTTTTTGTCAATTCATTACATAAGCTACTGTCGCATCGCTTGCTTCGCGCTCGATAAAAAATTCATCTTGCTACAGTCCGCTGGCCTAATTTAGCTCGCTATATCATTTTAACTTCGCTTGACAGCAAATTTTCCTTAAACAATTGACGCAGAAAAAAATGAATTAAAAAAAATTCCGTGCGAACCACAGACCGACTCTGATCTTCCCGTGGCACAAGCTACCGCCCGTTGTAAAGCGTATAGCCATTGACATCTATCCATCCACACATTTCTTGCACGGCGACCGCGCTACATTAGTCACACAAAAACATTAGTCACGCAAACACAAAACAACAACAGCAAGAAACAGCTAGATCTCAATATTCAAGCGCGGTTTTAGGGTGTTACCTAAAATACATTGCAATGTAAATCTCGCAAAAAAAAAAAAAAGTAAAATTATGTGCTTTAGCATCAGGGGTGCTTTGTAAACTGTCGTTTATCGATATTATTTCCAGACGCCGTCCGCCAACGCACTTCCGGGAGAGGTCTGTGTATGGGTTGTGCCACGGCGGCTCGGCGGTGGTTTGCTTGTGTACTACGCTAATTGCGTGCGGTGTCTGGAATCCGTCTACGGCTAGACTGTTGTACTAATAGTTTTACTAAACCTTTTTTTTTTTTGTTTTTTTGTTTTAGCTTTGTTACGCTTACCGCCAGAGGGACGCAACTGCTCCGTGTAAGTACGCCGCTTGCCTTGTCTACAGGGTTCCGGATGATTTAGAGGCTTGCGTATGAAGCTGGCGGCAGAAAAGATCTGCGACAACTTCCTGATGGGAAGCTCCTTTTAGCGTACCGGTACGCCCTGGATGAGCATCGTTCGTGTAATTCCCACTGGGTGATTCGCGTTAAAGACCAGTGTTAGCGGTCTTATGCGGATTGAAAGTTCAATCAAAGCCGATCAAAGATCAGCTTCGTTCTGACGTCAACGCAACTCCTGCGGAAAAAAGTAAACGACTTGCTCTCTCTATTGGTTGGGCTAAATTTATTATCTATATCTACGGCCTGAGTCAATGTCTCCGTATATCAGACGGATCAACCTCGTGCTCTCAAGCTATTCAACGTTGAATGATTTGCTATTTCTTTTTTTCCCTTTTCTTCGACAAGTTTGGATTTCTAAAACACTTAAAAAAGAAAATTTCGTTTTCCCCGTTTTTTTCCCCCCTCAGTTTTTCCCTAGTTTTTTCCCCACTCTCTCCCACCAGCCAAACATGACGCCAAGGTGGGAAGCCCGGCGCCCGGCAGGCCCGGCTGGCAATTAAATGCGCGTGTGTCTATCAGCAAACAGCTGCCTCGGTTAACGTCTGGGGAAATCAACAAAAGTAATAGGGTGCTTCAGGGAGCTTTTTTTAAAACTCCGATACGATGGAGCCGCGGCTGGGTAAGTTCGTCAAATGGCTACACTAAATCTGTCCCCGCTTCGATCACAAACGACCGATTCCAGTGAAAACGAAATATTTAAAAGGGTGGAAATATGAATGAAATGAACCGGGATCATGCTAAAGAAAATTGTAAAAAAAAAGCAAACGTCTACTTCTTTTTTGTAGCACAGAGACGCCAGCAACAAGAAATAAAAATAAATAAAACGTTTGAAAGAGTGATCGTAAATTACGATTACAAACATATATATATATATATATATAGAGAGAGAGAGAGAGAGAGAGAGAGAGAGAAAGAGAAAGAGAGAGAAAGAAACGCAGAATAAAGCAACACAAAATTAATGACCGGACGGAGAATTTAACCCCATAACTTTCTGCGTCAGAGCAAAGGTTAGTGACCGTTTAACCCAGTTTAATACTTCGTCGGCACACATTAAATGGCGGCGAGTGGCTCGTAACGTACGTCACGTATATATATATATATATCAATGCCATTCAAGTCGGGTAAGGGTAAGTGAGCGTCATTTCACGATATGTCGTTTTAAAACAAGCCTTTGAAGCTTCGTTCTGTAATCCACCGAGTTTCATTTTGCTCAAGCGTTGCCACAAATAACGCAATACCGCAATACCCCAACGCGCGATTCATTTCTGACCCGGAACCAAGTTCGGAGTCGCCGCTCCGCATCTCCATATAACGTCACGATCGCATAATCCGCCATCCATCAATCTTTGTTAGGTCTTACCCCTTTCCTGATCCCCAGCGTTGACGTGCGGCTGTAGGGTGTGTACGCGCGTGTGTCCAGAGGTCCGAACCCCGGACAGTTATGGCGGCCTCCTAGGGAAGGGTCATAGGGTCGCTGAGTCGTTGCTCTAGCCGATAATAAGGCCCGCGAAAGGGCGTCCCTGTATATGAAACGCCGCCGTCACGATCAACAAGATCGATGCCCATCGCCACCAAAAGAAAAGGATGGATGGATGGATGTTATTGGGTATACCCTTTGTATCGGGCGGTAACTTCCGCCACCTGGCCTTGAAATATTTACATTTTTTTTTTCTGTCCCTCGACAAAAATATATATATATATATACGTATATATATATGGACGCCGGAAGTTCCTACATGGTTACCAGACGTGGTCAGACAGGTCAAGCGGCGCCGCCAAAGGATCGTTTCTGCTACATGACTGCCCTTTTAACAAAAAACTACAACACCAACAACAAAAAGAAAACTTTTCTTATAAGATTGAGTATCTCGCGGCACTAAAAGGGGGAGCCGCAGTAATTCTGACGCTCTATATGTGCCTCTATAGAACATGTATAGACTACTATAAAGATGAGAAATACGCGTCACTCCATATACGTCGTCTGCTATTCGTAGGCTGTCTGCTTCCGAGGAAGTTCTGATCTTACGTGATCGGCGTACGGAACGCGGCTGCAATTTCTGGTCGGCCAAAAACTGGAGTGGGGAGTAAGATGTCAGAAACACGAGGCCACGCACTGTATATACGAGATGGACAAGATGGATGCATTTTGGAAGCACCCTTGGAGTAAGGTGGTAGTTTGTATCGAAAGGAGCTAGCAGAGGAAAGCCGCAGATCCACTGCTCATCATTCACCGTATACAAGAGGCAAGGCGTTCGCTGCAGGCAGGATGACAGAATTACATGAGGACACGCTTGAAGCTAGTTCGAAGTATGTATGCTTAGAACATGTCTGCACATAGGTTTTGCATTAAAAATCTGACATGGGCCGTCATACAAACGGAAGAAACACACCTTATAGTGTCTGCGGACTGTCTTTTGTATGATGTGTTATAGCAGTGCGACGGCGACTTGAGGCTACTGTATTGAATTTTCCCTTTCTGTTACACTAGTAGTTTCTTTATGGCAGCTGTTTATTTAAAAAGAAATAGGGGGAAAAATAAAAACTGGCGATCACTTGTGCGTGCCAACAGTGTCACGTTCTCTGCCTGACATTTCCCATCGTCTTTTTTTTTTTTTTGTTTGCTTTAGCCAGAACATTTTATATTCACAATTTAGTTGCGTCCCTCGCTTGTGCTATTGCGCCTGGAACGCGTTCCCGACTGGTGAGTTTAACAGGTAATCATTTATGGTATTCTTGATTTCCGCCTGATGATCTATGGAAGCGTGTTGTCACCTGCAGCAATCCTGGCGGTGACAGAGTATGCGGCAGGCGCCTGCTCCTGAGCCGTAGGTCGCCCTTCAGATTCACAGTTCACTGGGGCTCCAGCAGCCGGGAATTGGCGGATCCGCGATGGCAGCGACACTCGCGTCAGTCGCTCGCACTTCTTGTCGGAACGTCTCCGATCAACCCCCAGGATCGCGACATCCGACAGCATGAACATGACAGCCCGGTTCTCTTGACGCCGCTTGTTGCCGCTTCAGAACCACTTCCGATGCGTGGGAAATGTGGGAGGCTAAACAGATCAGACGTGTTCCAGGCAGCGTACCCTAGCTTGCCGCTCTACCCCGAAGCACCAGGGGACATTGAGCAACTCTTGCCTGAATTCGCAGCAGACAGAATCTCGAGAACCTTCGGTCCGATAACCCTGATCGTATACCGGCCTGTTACGGAATGAGAGACAAGGTACCTAGGCGGAACCTGAAACCCGCACAGCCATCACCACCAACCAGCTTGAAGAGCTCTCTTTGCCTAAGTAAACAGACAAATAACGGCCAGTCAGTGCAAGAAACCTTTGATTCTGACGATATTTGAACGAGATGCCAAACAGGAACACAATTCTTTCATTGCCAGTACCAAAAGACAAGAGTCAGATCGTATTTTTTCTTTGACCCAATACGCACGTTCTGTTACACTGCCATACTACAGTCAAAGACAAGTTCTAAGCGCCGTAATATGACGGTCACTCACAGGAACTTTCCGTCCAGATGACCGGAGTCCTGGAGCCTCTTTTCGGCGTCTGTCCGGGACAGGGGTCCGTGGAACCAGGGTTGGATTTCGTGGAGCGTCTTGCTCAGCAGGGAACGGAGGTCTCCCGGGGAGCCCGGGGCGGCCTCGGCGGCGCGGGGGGTATCCAGCTGTGACTCCTGGAGGACGTAAAAGAAGGCGACAGAGAAGATTTACGGTCAGAGGGACTGAAGACACATGGCTTGCCTTCATGGAGGACGCAAAAGAAGGCCACAGAGAACATGCACGGTCAGAGGGACCGAAGACACATGACTTGCAATCATGGAGGACGCAAAAGAGGACCACAAAGAAGATGCACGGTCAGAGCGACTGAAGACACGCAAGCGCCTGCCACGACCACCAGGATTGCGGCTGTTAGAACACTTTTATGACGTCATCAGGCGGAAATGAAGGGACTCCGTTTGAGGACGCGTTCCAGGCGCCATTATGCCCACTCACGTCCATGCCCCACTGGCGGGCCTTGAGCAGCATAAAGGCCCTGACGGTGTCGTCCCCGATGCCCCAGTGGGTGGGCGGCAGCATGGCGTCCCGCGCCCGGTTGCAGGGCAGTGTGGGCCGGGTGGCCAGTCCCTGGACACCGTGCAGCAGCGCCCATGGGTCCCGGAACTGCTGGCCGGGCAGACCGCATAGCTCCACGCCGGCGCCGGATAGCCTCCGTATCCTGCAGAAATAATTAATCTTAATTTAAATGCGTTAGCATTTATTGCCCTGGTGCATGCAGCTGTTCATAGTTTGGACGGTCGTGGTTTAGTTTGGACTGGACTGGAGTGGAGTGAACTGGTTTAGCGAAGCCGCAGCGCGGTGCGCGGTTCCAGCCGAACTCTTTCACTCCGTCCGTTCTCTGGTTAAGTCCCTTTCCCTTTTACCAGAGGAGAAAAGTTTCCTGGTTCGCTTTCAATGACGCGACGCGGGAGCGGGAGAGGGAGGAAGCTGTGGTGGCGGCATCAGAGATCGCAGACGCCAGGGAGAACAGACTGGCTCTCTGAACAAAACAGTATACGGACAGTGGAGAGGTTGGAATTCTCATCCTTCGCTGAATCGGAGACTCGGAACCCCTGCGCTAAACGCTAACGTGTCGGCTATGCTCCCTGTTACTAGTTGTGTGCAGTGCAGGCAAAGGCAACGCGAGGCGAAGAGAGAAAGGGCGAGCACTACGAAGGCGGGACGGGAGAGGAGTGCAATGAAGGGAGAGGGGAGAAAGGGAGAGCACTAGGAACGTTAGAGAGGAAAGGAGGTTCCTCTCCTCCTCCCCAGCATTTCTAGTGCTTGCCGTTTCTCCCCGTGCCTGGCGTAGCCTTCGCCTGTACTGCACGCAACTAGTGACACGGAGTATACGTCTTAAGCCGCGATCACACATTCCACACTATCAAGATTGTCAGTCATAGCAGTGTAAAAAAAAGTCAGCGGGTTCTGAGTATGCGCAGTGAAGAGCGCACTCAAATATGACGTCTAGTGAATACAAATGTCACTGGATCTCAAAAAAGTAGTGCGAAGCTCCCCGTATGGTCGCCATTTGGTTCATGGAATGAGCAGTTTGTCCTTGACTCCTCCATCATTGATGAGCCGATCGAACTTCCTACGCACCGGCGAAGCAAGCCCACATTTTCGCACTGCACCACACGCGGCGTCGGTGCCTGGTGGCATTGATAAATAACGTTGCCGCGTTTAAATACGCAAGAACCACAACACCATTGTAAAGGACGTGTGGAGATAAGCATGACTAAGAAATGACTTGCGTACAAAGCGCCAAAGACGCATATATTGCCGAGGAACGCGTTCCGTACAATGATGCTCCATAGCGATCTTATTGCGACCGGTTCAGAACGACCCTTTCGCATCTTCGTAGATTTTAACAGACCAAAATGGCGATTGCCATGGCAACTAAGACCGACCAGCCAATCAGCTTGCGAGGTTTGGTCGCCCGTATATGGCAGTATCGCTTTGTGTCCGGCAATTAGGCAGAGAAGGCAATGGAGCTGCTTTCCCAGGATCTAGTGACTTTAGCGAATACCCTTTAGATAAAGGCTAGAGGAAAGCGCAGACGAAGGAAGGCACCTGTAGTGGAGAACGCTCCGGTCGAAGCAGAGGGAGAGCACGTAGTCGGCGCCGCTCCGGCGGAGCAGGTAGAGCCCGTCGGCGCAGCCCCGCTCCCAGAGGATCCACTCGGCCGTCTCGCGGCTCACGGAGCCGTAGAAGCAGGCGGACTCCTCGAGCGGCTCCTCGTCGTCGTCCTCGGTGGCGTCGCCCAGGCACGGCTCCGGAGCCACTACGCTGCCCGCCCCGCTACCACCGCTGCCCGCCCTGAGAAAAAAACAAACAAAGAACGCACATTTAAAGGGAAGCTGAAGCACAAAGAAATATGCGCTGAAAGCAGACTTCTACAGCTTTGCTTGGTAGAAGAGTGTGTTGGTTTAAGTCATGGATGAAGAAAGAATAAAACAATTAAAACAGGGACAACACAACCACATCTTTTATTGTCTATCGTTAATCTAGCAATCGCACTTCACTTGAGCAGAAGTAATCGTAAACCGAATTTACTTGTGCGGAGATTGCTGCAGAGTGCACACACGAGCGATGAAAACGGGCGCCGCACGGCAGTTTCCATGGCAACTTGCGCGGACGCTGTGACGTGGCGACATAGCATGGGGTCACGTCACAGGGTAACGTCCGCGCGAGTTGCTATGGAAACTGTAGCGCGACGTCCGTTCTCGTCGCTCATGCGTCGTCCCCTGCTTCAGCTGTCCAAAGCGTTGGGACGTCATCGTCGGCATTCCCGAGCAACTGACGCTAACACCGATTCCGTAACGAACCTAAAAAAAGTCAGCAAAAATTGAGGAAGCAAAAGAGAAAGCCAAAACAGAAAAGTGAAAAGGCCAGTGTTAGCGTTTCTCAAAGATGGAAGTGGGTGGCGTATTCCAAGGGTCATGCTAACGCACTTCCTTAGGATCTACCAATTGATATTCTTATTTATTTGCCAAGACAAGTCATAAGCCGATCTATAAAGATTAAAAATACGTATACTACGGGTTTTAGTCATCACCTCCATCGCCACCAACAATGTCTGTCATACTGATAGCAACAGCAGTAAAATACACACACAAACAAGGTACATATCAAGCAAACATAAGGAGAACAAGGTTCTGGTCCTGAGGCCTTGCCGCTGTTCTGCTGTTTGTTTGTTGTCGTCAATACAGTTCTCTCCGGCTTTGTACCGTTTTATCTACACTCACTCGCCTGTAACATCGCTTTATGTTGACGCCATTTGTTCTGCTGCCATTTTCTGTCATTGAGAAGCGATCGGAAATAGCAAAAATATAAAGAAAATCCCGGCGATACTGCAGGCGATAAGAAGCTCCAAAAACACGCGTGACAACAAAAAAAAGAAAAAAAGATGGCAGCCACCGGAAGTTGCGTCAGTAGATGTGTCCTTTCAATGGCGACCGAAACCAGTTCGCGCATCTCGCACTTCCGGTGTTCTCCAGTCGGAATTGGCTGCCAGTGGCTTCCGTCCCACCCCAACGGTCCTCTTCTCCCCTTCCGAGTTTTCCGAACTCGTCGTCTGCGAGCAGTTGGCTCGAGTCACAAAAGACTTCCGGTGGGAGCTGTTGTAGCGCAAGCCGCGGTTGTTATCTTCGGACATATTTGGAACTGATCCGAAGTGTCCCGTGAGCTAGTGCTGCCCAGCGAACCTTTTCAGAGAAGAGTACAGAACGTGCACAAGCTCTCGCTCCACCTAGCGGCGCAGGCTCGCATCTGTTTTGGTGGAAACGGGTGACAGGCGGAATAGCAGACGACACTGGCGGCGGATCTTCTTCGAGAAGGTTTCGCCGGCCTCAAAGGCCGTGTTTCACAATTTACTATACTTCGTGTCAGCTTAAAGGCTGATGACCAGTTCGCGCTTTCCACTTTTCCCGCACTTCCTCCTCTCACCCTTTTTACCCTGTCCACCGCTGCCTGTTTCCTTCTCTCCCATTGTGAGGAGGATGTTCTGCCTTGCAGAATCTCAAGTCTGGTCGACGGCCTGTCTAGACAAAGCCGACGCTACTAGCTACTGAGACACACCGAGCAGTGACAAAAGCGAGAGTCAATGGGCCTTTTCTGTTTAATGTTGATTAGCGATGATAAAACACGCACAGAAATGTCACAAACACCATGATGGTGCACTTCTGACGCTCTCTGGTGGGTGCCATCAACCTGTAGCCTCGACTGCGTGTAAAATTAAGGTGAAATGAAGTATAGATCTCACTCTAGAGCAGATGCTTTGCACAGTGCCGCCCAAACTTAACGCCACCATAAATGATCCGTTTTTTTTTTGTTTTGTTGCAATGTGTGTGAGCTATTTTTGGTAGTACCGGTCAAACTACGTTGGTGCATATTTGACACTCCGATCGCAACCGAGCACGGAAAAGACATTTCAGGTGTTGCTATTACAAATTTAGGTTTGAGAAGGTGGTAATAGATAAATATATGGGTAACCGAGTGGCTACGTTAAAGTTTGGCAAAACTGACCCTTGGCTTTTGAAAGCCCACTGGGGTTCAGCGTCGGCTCTACCAACGAGATATGCGAGCGTCGCCCGGACTTACTCCAGTAAGATTTGAAACATAGCCAACGAGTTTATATAATGAATCAAGAAGAACGTGTTTGTTATCTTTGTATGCATGTTGACCTTTCTGGAAGAGAGGCCATGGTGGTCACCATTTACTTATTTATTTATATAAGCCGTGTGACGCCAATGTTCCCGCTAAATTTTGAAGGGAGAGTGAATTGGTTTGTAGGTCCCGTGATGTCAAGTAGTCACGTGAAATTAAATTTCCCGCGAAATTTAGCAGGAAAACTGAACTTGTGTATAGATTACGTGACATCAATTTTCTCGTTAAATTTAGCGGGAAATGCACGGAAGGGCATACGGACGGACGGACAAAATTTTGGAATTTGTAAAAAGGGGTGGGGGGTGATTAGTGTTAAAAAAAAAACATTCATGCTTTAATAGACTCCTCACTTCCTGCCCAAAACAGGTGTCGGTTTCGGTAAACGTAGAAGTGTTTCTTTCGGCAGCCCAATATTTTGTGGACGAAGATATGGCCGCACCGTGCTTTGTCAGTAGCCACCTATAGCACTCCATAGAATACCGCGGAACGTTAAGAAATACTGACACGCTCTTTAGAGACCATTTAAAAAATCCGCCTTCCGCGCGCTCCCATCTTTTGTCCACCGGGCCGTGGGAACCAATACCACTTAATATGCTGTGACCGTTTATAACGAAGTCAACGGGAATCAAAAATCACTTAGATATATCCGCTATTTCGTTATAGCCGACTTCGGTTATAACGAAGTGGACAACGGAATGGGCAATAGTGATCGCTTCGCTGTAGCCGCTATTTCGTTATAGACCACCACGCGTGCCTGACGTCACGCAGCTGCGGTGGCGTCAGGCACGAAGTGGAAAACGGAATGGGAAATCGTGATCGCTTCGCTGTAGCCGCTATTTCGTTATAACCGACTTCGCTATAAACGGTCTGGACAGTACTCATTTTCCCCTCAAGAACAAAAAAAAAAATAATAAAGTGTTTCATAGCGTTCATACCCGCGCGAAGTAGTTCTTACAAGATTCGGTTGTCGGCGGAAGAAACGATGCTGTTGGCGTTTGAAACATGTACGTATGGATAGCATAACATATACCTAGTATAAAATGCACCTACATATATCTTAGTTCTTCACATAAAGGGGGAAATTACTAATGCCCCCCAAGGAGCCGGACTTTTTTTTTTTTTTTACTACAGTCTTTGAGGCGAAGACGAGTATAAAAACTTGCTCACGGCGTTATTTTTAGTGTAGTTACACGCTGGCGACGATGCTGACTCGATCTAGGCGGAGTTGCCTGGATCCATTATAGCGATGACGTTTGGGGGGAGGGGGAAAGGGGGGTGGTGGAGGCGCAGGCTTTGAGAGAGCGCAATGCCTCTATATGTTTTTTTTTTTTCCTTTTTTTTGGGGGGGGGGGAGGGGGGAGGGGGGGGGGGGTGACAAGCGCTCATAAGGTGTATATACGCCGTGCCAGTTTGTTCGCTCTTTGCGTACGTTGTGCGTTTGTTTATTCCCATGAACGCGCCAAGTGCTTTTGTTTCAACTTATATTTTCTCGGGTACATGAGGTTAAAATGTTTTATTATCTTTCTTGTCCCGCATTAGAAATACGGAAAACCCACGTGTCTGGGATCGAAAGGAAACGAAAAACAAACAGACATCTATAGGGACTGAGCATTACCCTCAACGCAGACTGCGGGAAACGCTCCGTAATCGTTCCAGCCAATCAGCAAGAGGAGCGTGACAAGTCACTGTGCCCTCTTTGTATCACCGCGCAAAAAACAACAACAATAACAACAGCGACGCAACATTACAGGCCAGGCAGACACGCTGAGATGTTTAGAGCGACTACTTTCCCACGGAGAGGGGTCTGCCAATGACAAGACTAATAATACGTTTAGACATTAAAAAAAAAAAAAAGTATCTATCTTTGCCGGGGCAATGAGTGTGACGTTACATCGTGCACTTTCCCGTCAACAATAGTGACTGTTTTTTTTTCTTCTTTCTAGGTTTTAAACGTTTTATCAGCTTTGTCATTGGCCTAGCTCGCTCCGCAGAATGCAGCGGCTGGCAAAGCACAGCGTGCTTTTGGGGAGAGCAGTCGCTCAAGATTTCTTAGAGAGCAATTACGTGATTGGCGCAGACGGCCCGTATGGGTTTCCACCGTCCAATTTGAGCACGCACAGCGTTTCCGTCTGATCGGCATAGCCACGAACGAAAGTGAGCCGAATGAATGGATAAACGAATCAGTCTGGATGAATCAAAGGCCAGCTTTGAACGAAGAGCGCTCTAATGAGGCACTGAAATAAAATCGGGGTAGGAATTCGAAGCAATCAAATGGTTTGTGCCGGTCCACGGGCTTCATCGAGTCGTTTAAAAAGTTGGGGAAAAAATGAGGTTTTTTCTTTGGTTACAGAATTTCGTTCACGCGAAACATATTCATTGATTGAAGATTCTTTTGAGTTAGTAGCGCACCCTTAGTCGAATGGAAAGAAGAAAAAAAGATATATTCCGGAAGTGCGCATCGTCGTTTTATCTTGTTACGCTGAAACAGCTGGGAACGTAACTCAATTATCATAAAAAAGGTAAAAAAAGATGAAGAAAAGGAAAGAAAAAATAAATTCAGAGGGTTGCTCTTTGCTCTCTGATTCGCCTATTTGCATGTTCCTCACGACCCTCCGAGGGAATCTTTATTTTTTAGTTCATTCCAGCGGCGC